GACATTCATGCTCTCTCTCATGGACAAAGAAATGAGCAAATCAAGATCAGTGAGATGGCAGGCCCATGTGAGATTTAGATCTCTTATCTCTCAATACACACACTATAGTAGAGAGTGGCATGGCATGACACGTTCCCTATCTCTGTACTCACTTTTCTTCACAATATCTCTAGAGGGTCTCCAAGTAACTATTGTCTTAGTGTTAGTTAGATTTTCTTCTATAAATTTATATACCTCCTGCATAATAAGACATTTTCTGTGGTGTTTTTCTGTGCAAAAGAAGAGTTCTGAAGAGTTATTGCGGTGTATCCTTGATTGAAATATAGGCTTATAACCTGCTAGTATTTAAGGGACACAAATACACTAGTCATATTATGCACATGTAAAACATTTGCTATGCCAGGACTATAATTCTTATTTGTCTTTTTCACATTATGTACTTCATATTTAAAATTTAACAGAGCTCTGAATATGAAAGTGCAGGATAAGATTTTCATGCATGGCACAGGATGAAGGAATTCAGAGGTGTTTTGCTCAGTATGTTGAAACGTGGGTTTGCCATGAGTCTCAAATAAAGAGAGGCATTCAGTTTTTCTGCTGTGTGAACAAACCAGAACCCCATTTCATTAAGTGAACTACAAATATCCTAACTTTAGCCATTTAAAAGAGTTTGAGAGTTAATCAAATTAGGCAAATAGCAAGCACTAAAAGCACCAAGTAGTCAGTCAGGAAAATGCAGTAATCCTTATAGAAATATAGTGATCTGTAAAAGCTGATTCATCTCACCTTAACATTAGGAGGGGGAGACTAATGCACACAGAATGAATCATCCCTTGCCAACTTCAGTTATGAGGAACTTAGAAGTTCAGATTGTGCACAGTTCATGTAAAGGGAAAAGAAAACACTGTTTTTTACAAAGCTGGTTCTGGCCCATCCGTCCCTCATGTAAAGAAGTAAAAGTCTCTGTCTGCCTCACCGGGATCACCCGGAGCCCACAGCCAGCAGTCTGACCTAAGAGTGTTTGCTAGTGCAAAGGGCAGTGATAGCTATCCCACTCCTAATTCTTGGCCAGGTACTGTCTACCCTTGGCCATCGGTAGACAGAAGCTTAATGTCCTTATATTACCTATTATTTGTAGTAATTCTGGGCAGTTATGTCAGTAAAACAGGAAAGAAAAGTGACCTGTGGCTTTGTCACAGCATATTGAAGGGGGTTGAGTTTTTAATCCTCACCCACACAAGCTTATCCGTAGCAGAATAATCTCATATTGTTGTTTTCTGACAAATTTTTTACATTCACATTTCCCTTATATTAATGCAGCTGGTACTGTATTCATCTGAAGTTAATTTCATTTACTGTTTGCTCTGGTTTGCAATTAGGAACAAGCAAAACACAGATTTGGGATGCTCATATGGCTGCTTGCTTCAACTTGATGTTTGGTAACATCTGGATACACCAGATGTATCTTGATATATCCTAAAGTAAGGACTTTAGGATAGTTCGTCATGAAATTTGGTAGGTTAATGAAATAAACAGGCTAAAAACCTGTTTAACAAATTGAAATCCAAATCATATAGACTTTATTCTGCACATTCACTCTGTCTTTTGACTAATCATACATGGCCTTATTCAGTTTATCATGCTTCATTGTGGAGTAATAAGGTAACAATATGTGTTCAAGAACCAGTTCATTCAGTTTGCAACTGTTGAAAAATCAATTCTCCTGAGTAAAATTGCTTATAAATTTGATTGTAAGGTTGCAGAGATAATGGCTATATGTTCTGATGGTTACAGAAATGATAGACAAAGTCACTGTGTCACTCATGTGCCTAAAGGGACATGAATGCAACAAAGTTATGCACACCTCAGACGGAACATCTCTCAAAGAGTGACAACTGTTAGACTTAGTGTGAATCTTCCATCTTTAAGGCATCTGTATATGGCAATGCTATATGTCAAGGATATTTATTTTAATGTGAAAGCTCTTTGGTTTTTTTCTGGTGTGGTTAAATATGTTAAGTGACAGGAGCTCACCCAGATGAAAAAGAGGAAGTTTTCTTTGCAGTGATTTGTGAGAGTGAAAAACGAACCTTTCCCTGACCAAACCCTCAGATAAGTCTAAAACAGGAAATTCAGATTTCTGACACTTTCTCAGAAAATGCCTCCATCATTGAAAAGTAGAAATAAAATGTCAGCTTTTGAGAATTTTTATTATTGACCTTATGGAAAGGGATAGAGAAGTGACAGAAGCAAATAAGACAAAGAATGATGTTCCCTTCTTAACTGAAAGGCAATTGTCATTGCAGAATTAATGTATACAGCTTCCACCCAGCACCTGTGGCTGAAGTATGGGGAGGTGTACTGGCAAGAATTTGGGATATGAGCTGTAGTTCTTTAATGGAAATGTTATGGAATATTTGTCAACTCATCTTGCCCTTAGAGATGCTACAAATATCCATAGTCTGTTATAGCAGAGAAAGACCTGAACACAGAGAGACTGGCCTTGACAAGTTAGCTGTGGGAATGATGGCTATACCAGACATCCCTGCCAGGGAGCCTGTAGCAGAAGGTATATTGGCAATAATTTTTACAAGTTGACATCAGCTGCCAGAAATTTAAATCAGAATTTAAAGAAAAAGGCAGCTAGCAGACAGAAAACAGACTCCCGTCCTCCTCTTTGGTAAAACTGCCAGGAAGTCCACACACTGTCTCCAGCCTTTCTTCATCTGAGAGATGCTCCCGTCCATTAATCACCTTCATGAGTTTTCACTGGCCTCTCTTCAGTGGAGACAGCACTTCAGGTGTGGCCTGACAATTGCAGAGGAGGGGGCAAGGATTCCTTCTCTCAGCCTTCTGGCAACACTCCTCCTAACACAGTGCAGGATACACTTAGACTTCTTTGCCAGAAGGACATGTTGTTGGTTAGTATTAAATTTGCTCTTGACCAAGATCCCCAGGTCCTTTCCAGAAAACTCCTTTGAAGCCAGCTGCTCCCAGCATGTGCCCCTGCCTGGAGTTGTTCCTGGGTGCAGGACTTGGCAATACGTCTTGCAGAACTTTGCCAGATTCCTCTGAGCCCATTTCCAGATCCTGTCCACAGCCATTGAGATGGCAGTACAGGCTTCTGATGTGTCAACCATCCCTCCTAGTTTTGTGTCACCAGCAAAGTCACTGAAGTCAAGCTCTGCCCCACCATCCAGAAAGGACACAATGAGATGAGAAGAGGACTTCCAAGGATGGGCAAAAAGAGGGACTTTCTTTAGGGAGAGCAGCATGGGAGAGGTGTTCAGCGGCCCTCCAAAGACACCAGTGTCAGAGGTTTTGCTGGTTTTCATACAACAAAAGGTTTCCCCTTCCCTCAGTGTTACTGAGGGATGTTGTTTGCACACCAAGCAACAACTGCAAAGAGTTACATGAAGAGCCCTGCACATCATTTCATGCAATAAATAACCTTGTTAATGTCACCTGTGGGCTCTGGGCTTTGGCTACCAAAGGGCCTGGCTTTCTCCCCCAAAAAAGAAAGATCACAGAATCTTTGTGTCCAGAGGAAGGCTGTGAGTAGGTCATGGCCTACTCATGTGGCTTCTGGCAGAATTACAAAGCCCAGTGAATACAACTGGGCCACTCTGCCCCTCAGTACCAAGCGAGCATTGCATGAAGGCACCCCTTAAAGTGACCCTTGGGGGTCTGGCATCAGCCTACATGTCCCTGTGGGAACAGCTACAGGCCTTATTGCCCCTCTATGTCCTATTAAAGGACAAGCTGCCCTTTTCTTCCTAGTGCTTCTTCTGCTGAGGATGTCACAGGAGCCAGAAGGAGGAGAAAGCCCATTCCATCTTTCTTTGTGTCTGCAGCCTACAACATCAAGTCAGAACTAAGTACTTTCTGAAAAGCATGCTGGATGACTGTTCTTATCAGAAGGAGGCTTGCAATCAAGGAACAAAATTGTATTTGGATAGCAAATCAAAGTTTCAGAGTTCTCTATTTCTGTCCCTTTCCTATTCAGTAAGTTCCACTTTGGTTTTCAGAGTGCCACCAGCTTAGTGCTATTTGTGTCCTCCTTTCTCTTCTTCCTGGCTTTGCCTGCTCAGTTTGTTTCATGGTGTCTATCTCTGCCTGTGGCAACTCCCAGACCAAGACCCTGCCCTGATTTTTTTTCCCAATCCAGGTGCTAAAACAACCCTTGATTTAGTTATAAAGGCTGGTTGTGAAATGTCTTTGTAAGATCTTGTTCCACTTGGTTTTCAGCCCCATCAGAGCTTTGCCTGAAAGGGCAGGAACGTATTTCCTTTTTGGAAATTGGAATTCTAGACCATTTCTGTGTGTGCCATGGATCCCAGAGGGGAGAGGTTCCTGGGGTGCTGGTTCTGCCGTGCCTCCCAAGAGAGCAGTGCAGTGCAGGTGCAAGTGACAAGGTCCTGAAGCTCTGTGGGCTCCCATGGATTTTATTTACCAAGAAAGGGGAGGTAGAGAGATAGAAAGAAAAGGGAAACAGATCTCAGAGAGAAAGAAGGAGAGAGAGAGAAGAAGAGAATCAATAGGAATTAGATGATCTTTAAGTACTTTCCCTTCATCATGTGATTCTAGATGTGTGGATGTGTATTTTAATTTGACATTATTAGTACTACTACTACCACTACAATTTCATCTTTTATGATTTTTATTATTTATTACTGATAATATTTATTTTTCTTCATCTTAGTCATTCTTCTTATTTCTCTGTGTCTCTTATTCTAATTCTTAGTACTAATTACTACTACTATTTCTCCTTATTCTACTTCCACTTCTTCTTCTTCTTCTTCCTCTTCTTCTAATTCTTATTCAACTTATTATTCTTTTACTTCCTATTATTGTTCACTACTATTGCTTCTTCCTATTCATCACCTTCTTCTTCTCTACTACTTCTATTTCTTCTACTTAATCTTATTCATATTCTTGTTTTTATTATTTCAACTTATTACAGTTATTGTTTTTCTTCTTACTATTATTATTAATTACTTTGACTATTTATTCTTATCCTTCTTATTTTGTTATTCCTATTCTCCTTACTATTCCTTCTTTTGATTCCAGGCCTGGCAGCCCCTGTGGCTCCCTCAGGACGCTGGGCAGGCTCTGTGCACTAATCCTCGGGCAGTGGCGCCAGGCAAGGCCAAGGGCAGCAGAAGAGGCTGCACAGCACCCACAGCGCCCACCTGGCGTGGGATGGACTCTTCTTGCAGGGACCCTTGGCTCCCAGCTGTGGAGCTGAGGGGCTGGAGCAGCTGTGCAGGGCAGGGACTGGCTTGTGGGGAGGCCTGGCACAGAATGGCACCTGGGGGCACGGCTCAAATGCCTGGCGCCCATCCCGAGGGACAGGAACTGGGAGCCCACCCTCTGCAGAGCATCCCAGTCTTTGCTCCCTGTCTTCTTGTTCAGGCAGCTGGAGGACACTCAGTTCATCCCAGGTCATCCTCTTCCTGCAGTAGGCGCTTGATCCCAACACTCTGGACCCACACATGTTCCCAACTGCCTTGAGCCAGCTCCTTGTCACTGTTGTCTTCATAGCTGGACTGGACAGTTTGTTACCATTCCCTTCAGAGAGCTCTTGGCCAAGAGAGTCTTCCTCTTCGAAATGCTCTTGGCCAATAAATTCCACCCAGTCAGATGGTTCTTTGTAGCCTTCAACTTCTCTGAGGGAATATAAGTCAACCTTGCTGTATTCTTCCCAGTCACAAAGTTGTTGGTCTTCCAGCCAGCTGGGCAAGGGCCTGGGTACCTGGGGGATGGGGTTGGCCGTGTCCTCCTCCATCGCACACATGCCCTGTCACACAGGGATCCTGGGAGCTGCTTTGTCCTGAGAGAGCTGCTCTCCTGGGTCTGGGCACCCCAGGGCTCAGTGCCCCTCATGTACCCCTCTGGAAGGGCAGGGCTCTGCCGTGTCACAGGAGCCTCTGGGCATTACAGAGTCCTGCATCACCAAGGGACCTGACACACTGCACCTGTGTCACAAATGGCAACCCCCAGCACCCCTTCAACAGCGGAACCCACTGGAAGAGGCATGGAGCAGCCCCCAGCCTCGGGGACTTGTAGCCCCTGATGTGCCCAGGGCTCTGTGAAGCTTTGGACAGAGCACCACATGGCAGCCCCAGCCCCACACTGCAGAGCCATGGCTTTGGACCATGGGCTGTTGGGGGCACAGCCATTGGCCAGATGGACACTGTTGATGTGACAGTCTGGTCAGAGTGAAAGATAGAGAAGTTTTCCCATGAATCAGTCTGGGAAGCTTTAGGGAGCTGGAGAGAAATAACAATAATCAAATATTAAACAATCTACAGGTGGTGTTTTTAACAAGTTGTTTTTATCATAAAGAGGGCATCTTGTTAATTAGCCAATCATGCAAAATGTCTTGATTAAATGACCAATCAGGTCCACCTGTAGCAAACCAAGGTATAAAAGAAGATGATTGATTAAATGGACTGGCTTTTAGACCTTAGCCTCCTCATCTCACTCTGTGTCATTTCTGACTCAATGCTGCCAGGATACCAGAGCCAGGCAGCTGTGGGCAGTGGCTCCCAGTCCAGGGGCAGGCTGGGGACCAGGGGTGTCCCTCAGGGTCTCCCTCCATGCTGGGAGCAGAAGGGGGTGTGGGTGAGCAGCTGGGAGCTCAGCACTGGGGTGGCACTGCCTGTTAGCAATGACAACACAGCAGCTTCATCCTGCACATGGAGCATCTCTTGGGATAGTGTGGGGGTCCTTTCTGCCTCTGCTGGGGACAGGGGGTCACCTGGGCATAGATGAAGACTGAGCACCAAAATATCCAAAAGTGCCTCTTCTTCTCTATTACCTAATGTCCTTGCCACAGCCAGAGCTGGCTGTGAATGTGGAGGAAAGAAAGAAAATGCCCAGTGAATGAAGCCAAAGATGCTGGTACTGAGTGGGAAAGCTACACTGAGGCTGGAACTCACTATGGACTGAGCTATGGAGGCCAGGAAAGACAGATGGAAGATTTCAGTCCTTTTAACTGGTACTGAAAGCTACCCAAAGGAATAAAAGCGGTGTTGGCAAAATGTGGGATGCTGTGATTGTATTTGATGTGAGACAAAAACAAGCGTTTAGGTGCATAATTTGTGATGCTTAAGCCCTGAAAGTGAGTTGCAGCTTGCTTGGGACCAATGGCCCACTGAGTGAAACACCAAAATGCAGTTGTCTCACTGGGATGCCTTGGTGTGCTCCATCCATGCTTGTCTTTCTCCATTACCCAGTAAAGAGGTATGGGCTGGTTTCAAGACTGGTGTTTTGTTGAGAGCATAGCCTTACAGAAAGCTCCACAAATAATTGCAGAGAAATTTACTTTTCCTCTGTGTAAGAGGTCACTATGGTAACTTATTTCTGACTTACTGCAGTAGTCCTCTGTAGGAGGAAAGTCAACAAGCTCCCATTTTATTTGTAATGAACAATATCAAAAGTATTTTTGAGTCTGAGTCTGCCTAACATTAGCAAGGTTTTACCAATCCAAAGCCTATTAATTTGTGCATCTCCAGCTCTTCAGGTACAGGGAATTGCAAGAAACAGGAGGCATTTTTTTCTTTATGTATCATATGGGTTTAGCAGGTGTTTTCCTTCATGATTGTGTACCAGTGGGCTGCATTTGGCTACATACAGCAACTATGTGCTGCTGCACTTGTGAATGTGGGTTTCAGAAAAACAGATCAAGTTTTATGGAACCATTTTTCCTTGGACAGTTATTAAGCTGAATACATGGAAAGAGGAAACTATAAAAGTATAGGTAATTTTGTATCAAATATCAAGCTAATGACTCAGGTTTAGGACTTTGTTCTGCTGGAAGCTTCAAAAACCAGATTTGTAGAGGTATACGCTTAAAGCTCGATAACACAGGACATTCAGCAAAATTTGATGGGTGGAAAAATAGAATTGTTTCAATAAGTTTATTAAATATAATTTTATTAGATATAAACAAGCCTGCATTCAATTGCTGAAGGCCTACTGTCTTTTTTCCTAACAAGATGTTCTTTAAAATTGGTATGAATATCACAAGCAGCTCTTTTTTGATAATGAAAAACAAAGCAGTAATTAGCTTTTTGTAAGGTTATAAGCACATCTAATTATGAAACTACTTGTGAATAAAAGACTCAGCCTTTCCATGTAATAAAATTAATTTCTGTGCTGTCAGTTTCCTCTGTAGAAAATTACTTTAGAAATGCAGAAAGGTTTTAATTTAAAAAAAAAATTTTCCATGAGCCTTGCACACCAGGACTGCATTTAGAATACAGACTCTACTAACTACTTCTCTTTAACATTCTTCTTTATGGGAACCCTACGTTGGAGGCAAAATTTAATTTCAAACTATTTTTTTTACAAAACCAGAGATACATAGTGTAGATGAAAATTAACAGGTTTCTTTATCACTGACAATTTAAATTAGCCTGTTAATCCTAGTGTGACCAAAGCAGAATAGTCAGCATAGGGTAGTAAAAAAACGCCAGCTTACTCTTTTATAAAATCATTTATCATTTTACTATCACAGATATCCTTATGTAAGTGGAAGGGAAGGTGCTGATACAGACTTGATTTTTAGCAAAAATCCTCAGTATATACATATTCACTACTACAGTAATGGTTAGTATTTGAGAACACTATAAGAATAATTAAAATAAAACTTATCCCCTTCAAGCTCAATTTAAGCATCCACTTCAGTGTTTTTAGAGTTTCAGTATTTGAGAAAGGAATATGACAGCAGATTTATGCTACAGGTTCAGAATCTGACAGTGGAGAATGAGAACAGCAAAATTGAGTCATATTCCCTGATTAAACTGGGAGATTTAAAAATTGCTTTAGAATAGCTCATCTCACCTCAGAGGAGAACTTTCACATATTCAAATATAATTTGGTCCCCATCAAAGGCAAAGGGATCTTGCTTATTTAAGTGGGAGAGGCATTAGGGCCTGTCTGTGTCATCTTTAACTGTGAAATAAGAAGTTCTTGAGCTGAGCTAAATGTTGTTGAAGTTTCTTAGTGTAAGAGCTGTCTTTTACCCAAGGTAAATGTAAAAGGGGACATTCAAGTGCTCTGTGCAACCAGATAGCAGAAATGGTAGGAAAGCTCTCACAATCACTGTTGCATGTTGCAAAGGCTGAGAAGAGGATGATTCATTTGATAGTGGAGAAGGGCAAGACAAATGCGGGCATGTAAGAACTGATTGCTGAAACTGTGATTGCCTACCATCTGTGACAGAAAGAGGAAAGGGTGCCTGACTATGGGGAAAATGGCAGCAAAAAAGTACTGGATGCATTAACAGCATCATTAGCAGTCTGGTCTGAGTAAGAGATAAAGGATATTTTTTGTGAGAGATTGGGAGCAGAAAGGTTGTCCTCTGATTGCTGCTGTGGCCAGAGAAAATGGGTCCCAACATTTTTTTTTTTTTTTTTTTTTTAATGACTAAATACCTTTCATCACATCAGCAATGCATAAATCCCTTTCTTTCTTGCAGGCAGAACTCCCCACAGAGCCTCAGCCTATTAACTAAGGTCAGAAATGACACAAAACAGTTGACAAGGTGGTTTTTTTTGAAATTGTACTGTTGTGGGAGCCAAGGTAACAGCTCTGATACCCAATGTTTTTAAGATAATTCCCTTTCATTTATCAACCTATCCTTTACCTTATTATCTTTCTATGCAGTGTATTAGTGAGTTTTCCTGGATGACTTATTTTAGTGTGTTTGCATAGAAATCAATGAGCTCGTTGCATCTTTCTCTGGAACAGCTGCAGCACAGTTTTCTTTTGGTTTGTTACCGAGTAAAATCCCATGGGTTCATGTGTGACAGAAAAAACAATCATTTTCTGAGATGTACCTACTGCTTTTCCCTGGGAAAAAGGGGAGGGTCCTGGCTTGCTCACTGCCATTCTCATCTGCTCCTATTTACATGCCATGCACTGGAAGGCATCTCATTTGGCAATGTAATCTAACTGGAAATTCATAAATCCATACATCTATTTTTAAACTGTATTTTGGTTGGTAGTGGAATGGTGTCATTCAATTTCAAAAATGGATGTATTTCTGAAGTAGCCTAGACATCCTTGCAAAGGCAGAGTGCTTTATTAGGATAAGAGAACTATAAATAAACAAGATAATGAAATATTCTGACTTCACAGTGTATCAAATTAATTGTATTAACTTAAGGAACACAAGCCAAAATAAGAGTCCAAAAGAAAAGCAGTAAATGTCAAAGTATGTCTGAAAGTCTACTTAAAGTCTTCTTTGGCAAAAGAAGCGAAGACATTTTCCAAGCTCAATTGAGAGGAATGTCAAGAAGGTGAGTGAGTGATCTGAGAATGAATAAAGGAACACAGATGAACAATGTAAGGCTAATGCATTAATTCTCATCCTGTTTCTCTGGTTAGATTCATCCTCTGCAGTGGCAGCCATAAATTCAGGTTTGTGACTGACTGAAAAGGGCACCGCTTTTAAATCTAAGGTGCTCATCAAGAGTATTGAATGCATAAAGTTTTTTCACATGTAAAGACCGAGTTGGCAGGTGTTGAATTATAGAAGAAATGTCTTCTTTCCTTCTTAAGAAATTTAAGGATTGATGCTATAGGCCTTTCATTATATGGATCACTGAAAGAAACAATCATTCCTATATTTCAATGTCATGTTAATTGCAGTAGCGGTCAGCTGTATTACTGCTAAATCTCAAACTTGGTGCATCTCAGTGTTTCTAGGAGAAGCATCATCCAGACAGAGCCTAGCTTTCCCCTGGAGTCCAGCTGATCAGTTTTCATCCAGCTCCTCTCTGCCTCAGGTGATAAGTATTAAAGAAGTTCTACCTCCAGTTCCTTACCAGTATAAATACATACAACAAGTTAAAGGGTGGAGTTTTTTTTATGATACCTAAAAAGACCTCTCATCTGCAGAAATGCTGTGTCTTCTAGTGGTAGAGTTTGCAGTTTGATTTATTTCTCTGGCTAAATAAGAACATCAACATCTGAAACTAAACATAGTAACTTATTAAGCCATCAGTAGCCCTCTCACATTATTAAGATCTTCAGTGTCTCTGAGAATGGTTTTCTTCCCACATTTGATTCATCAAGCATCTTGCAGCACAAGCAGTCTGCATGCCTACAACCAAATAAAAAGATAATGATGAGGTTTGCCACATGATTGCCGATGTTTGCAATGTGGCTACCTATGGCTAACATGGTCACAACTTGAAGACACTGGTTCCTCGCATCTTAAAGCAGATGTCACATGGATCATCCTCAAAACTGTCTGCTCCTCTCTGCTGTCCAAAAAGGAGACTGATAATGGCTAGCCCAGATGTAAATTACTTGTCTGTACCAACTTGAAGTTTTCTGAGATGACCTCCAGCATACCTTTCATACAAAGTGCTGCTGCATACGAAAGGTGATAGTGGACCTACACCTTAACAGGATTAAGATGAAATGGCGTTAACTTCATTTCACTGTACTTTTCAAAGCGTAGTCTAGCATGGAAGTATGAGTCTCCATTCACATGATAGAAATAATTCACCCTTACTGCTTCTATGTTCAGACAGAGAGTTAAATGTTCAGTGATGTCTGCATCTGGAAGCACCAAGATCCTGGCTGCATAAGCCTGTGTTTGACAGAGCTAGAAAGATAAGATGGTGCAGTAAAATGGTGCCTACCACTGAAGAGTCACAGACATGAATTTAAGTTAATACTGTATGCAGAAGTCATCTGAATGTCTGATCTGGGAAATTAAGAGAAGGAGAGGGAAGTGCATCAGAGAAGGATGGTAATGTGCACTGTTGATTATCACCTAAAATAAATCCAAAGAAAAATATCAATCCTTGCTTTTTTGCATCTTTCACGTCTGTTTGATCTGTGAACACTCACTGGCATTATTCCTAATTACCATAGGAAAGGAAAAGAATTGGGAAAAGTTGTCTTTTATCTCAATTAAAGGTATCACATGTACCTGTCTAACAGGTGATCAATGCTAATGCACATTTAGGGGATACTGCTGTCATCAAGCCTATAGTGACTTGTGAAAGGGCACACACATGACTGGAATTCATATTATGCTGTTCTTCAAAGCTTTCTGATATACCAGGGAACTCATTTTCATCAGCTCTAATCAATACTTCAAATTTTGACAATTAAATCAGTCCTTGGTATGAATAGCATACTGAATGAAAGAATCTTCATTTTCTGCTAGCACAGAAAGACAGCAGCAGAAATTTGACCTTCATAATACTGTCTTCCTTTTTCTTATAATATTGCTATAAATTACCTCAAGAAAAGCCTGCTGCTATTATCAAATCCAAAGCTACCTCTCAGGTTATATTCTGTCTACTCTCAAAAAAGCACCTATGTACTTCTTCATCCTTGAGCTTCATCTGATATAAAAGCAGTGAAGTGATTAGAGTCAATGCGGCCAAATATAATCACTACACTCAGGAGCAGAGCCTGTTGCACTGTTATCTTGCATGACAAGAACACATTGCCATGAAAACAAATTCACATGGAAGCTGTGCCATGCTCTGTTCAGAAACCCACCCAGCAGCCAGGGCTTCCCAACTTTATGGTGCTTCTCCTTCTACCTTCCTTGTGGCTTGGTGGTGTCACAGCCCCTCTCTGCTTCTGCTGAAAGGTCTGGGTATTTATACACATTTGGAATGCAAACCCAGCTCATTGTGACATTGTCCCTTTTTAATTTTTTTTCTCTGCAGCAGCAGAAAGCATGACTCCTTCCTCAGCTCTGCAGAGGAGGGCAGGCTAGGGTTGGTGTTAAGGTGAGGATCAGGGCTACATCTGAAACTTTCCATCCCAGACTGCTTTGCCTGTGACAAGCATCTTCCATGTCCAAGCCACCTCATGTGGCTGACTGGCAGTCTGCTGCTAAGAGGGAATTTAGGCAGATTTATTTCCCTCTAAGGAGCAACTTTGGGGAGCAAGAGCCTTTACAAGTGCTCTCAGACATGTTACTCATTTGTTTGCAGTTCTCACAATCACAGAATCATATGATGATCAGATAAAGTCTAGAATCATATAAAGTCTTGGGTTGGAACAGACCTTAAAGATCATCTAGTTCCAGCCCCAAATGAGAAAAAAATTGCAAAATCCACTTCAAGAACACTGTAAATGATTTCAGAATTCATTTCCACAATCCTAATCATGCAAAGGGCCTTGATGCGGACATAAAGATCTGGCTGAACTTTTCTGTATTTTACACTTGGAATCTGTTCTGTATCTCTCATGTTAAGAAACCTTTTTTTCAGAGTAATGGAAAAGGGAAGCAACGTGAGATCTGAGCAAGTGTCTAAGAGTACTGTTGTAGGAGCAGTCTCATCTAAGCTGTCATCTTCCTTTACCCCTGGACTACATGAAAGCAGCCCTCATTAAATTAGCTCTGGACATTCAAAATTACCGATTTGTCTTTTAAAAAAGGTAATTCTATTTTCTTTTCGTTCTAATACCAGATACTTGAGATATGCATGCTGTGCTTAAGATAAACCCACCATAATAATTTAAAGACAGGCACTGTCATCACCTTCCAAAGACATTTGATGATGCTCACTGTAGAATCATTATATTTGAGGGAAAAGGCATTGCATGCCATTACCTTTTTACCCAACCTGAACTTCTACTGTCTATCAATGTATGCAGGGAAAATTTATATTTCTTTTCTATCAAAAATGGAGATTAACTGGTCATTGCAACATATGAAAGTGGAAAATATTATATTATTAGAACTATTATTATTAGAACTATATTATATAAAGCCATAATAATATTAATACACTTGGCCAGAAAAAAACATATTAAATTTCAATATTTTTCCATACTGAAATGTGGCTGACATTTAAAAAATATTTCCAGAGTAAATCACACATCATATTTTGAAGCTGTCAGCCTCCCAGTGAGGTAACATCACACTAACAAATGGTAAAATATAATTTCAGCTTCTTGAAACTAACAGCCCTACTAATAACTGTATTGAGATAAAGTTGCTGTTATTTCTGGAATCCCTGTATAATTTAAATGTAGACAAATCAAAATATAGCATTTAGCAGCCACAGAAAAGCAGAGAATTAGCATGAAGTGAACAAGAGATGGGTCCCTGGAAGAGTAATGGAGTGAGCCCCAACTCACCACCGCTAGCAACAGTGAGCTGGCTTGCTGGTGGAAGGTGCACTAGCTTAATGGCTAAGTGATCTTATTAATTTTTTCTTAGTAATACTGTCATGAACTGCATCAAAATAGCACCACATTTAGAAGAAAATACATAATTCAAAATTATTATTAAAGAGAATTAGATAGTTTTCTGCTATGCCAAATGATAATTTGTCAAACTGACACCTAAAGCAGAAGAGAATAAATGTTTCAGGCTTATTTATTATTTCCTATTAAGGAATAATATCTGTTTCTTAGTCACTGGGCCGAAATGTTGACATTGAAGTTTTAAAAACTGTTAGTCACTCAAGGTATTTTTGTTCAGGAACATACTTAGAGTAATAGATAATTTCATTTGGAAAAGACCTCTGAGATCATTGAGTCCAGCTGTTAACCCAGAAGGGCAAGTCCACCACCTGAACCACAGTTCCAAGTGCCACATCTACAAGGTCCCAAACACTTCCCTGGACAGCCTGTTCCAATGCCTGACAATCCTTTCAGTGAATAAATTTTTGTTAATATCCAATCTAAATCTCCTCTGGCACATCTTGAGTCTGTATTTCCCTGTGTAATCTTATGACATCTTTTTAGTTCTCCTGAGTGGCCAGCAGGAATGAAGTTGAGAAGCAGACATGGACTGTTGACCTAAGGTCAACCCAGTAGGGGAGAATCAGGAGCACCAAAGACCCACCCAAAGCCCTCTGACCCACTTCCAGAAAGGTGCAGGAATGAACTGCACAAAATAACTAATTTGCATTGAAAGTGAGAAACCTACCTCCAGGTGGGGGGAAACTTATGTATAAAAAGACACCCCACAAAGCCTGGGCACCTGCACCCCAGGAAACTGGACATACTGTTAGCTGCATTGGAGCTGAAGCCAGGACTGGTGATCTCTCTTTCTCCCTTTTTCCTCTCTTTCTCTCTCCTAATTTTCCTCTATTCTTTCATCCTACCCCTTATTCAAAGCCCACTCCCCTGTGCTAGAAGACCCTAATATACTAGTTTCCATTCCAAATGCAAAATTTACAATAAACCTCCTTAAGTTTCTTTTGTGGACCCTTTGACTTTTCAATTTCTTTTCAGCCATGAGCACCTACCAATCCTGGGCACTCATTTCTCATTAAGGGTGGGACACCAAGATGATGAGATGGAGCATTTCTCCTGTGAGGAAATCCTGAGAGAATTTGGATTCTTCACCCTAGAAAAAACAAGGCTTTGGTGGGGTAATCTAATTATGGCTTTCCAGTACCTGAGGGGAGCCCATGAGAAAGGTGAAAAGAGACTTTCTACCAGGCATACAGTGGCAGGACAAGGGGGAATGGCTTCAAACTGAAAGAGAGTAAATTTATGTTCGATATTAGGAAGAAATTCTTTACTGTGAGGTGGTGAGGCACTGAAGCAGGTTGTTCAGGGGAACAGTGGATGTCCCATCCTTGGAAATGTTGGACGGGGCTATGAACAATCTGGTCTAATGAAATGTTCTCTGCCCATGGCAGAAGGGTTGGAACTAGATGATCTTTAAGGTCCCTTCTAACCCAAACCATTCTATGATTCTGTGATTCTATGAAGGTACATAAGGATTACTCAAGCCACCTTTCTTTCATCTTATGAAAATGTAGATTTGACACACTGCTATTAAAAACCACATGGCCCTGTGTTGTCCTTTTTGCATTTTCTTTCCAAGTGATGATGCCAACATAAAAATTAAAAATGAAAAAATACCATGCAGACTTTTCAATCTCTCTGGAAAAGTGTCAGTTTGAGGGATTCAAATGAGAAATTGGCCTGGGAGTCATTTCAGTATGTATCTTACAGGATAACTGCAGCTGATTTAATGGGGCTGGTATTTTGAACAACCATTTGAAAAAAAAGAAACAGTGGATTCTATAATCATTTTTATATCACTCTCGCTCATGATAAAATTGCTAACATTAAAGAAGTCTTGTCAGAAAGCTGTTACAAGGTCTTAAATGCTCTTGATTCTTTAACATTTCGTCCATTAAAGGAGGGGTTGGTAAAAATGAATTTGTCATGGATTCTTCAGAGACTGTGTAATAAGAGCTATTAAAATGCTCAGGTTCTTGGGAGGTTATCGGACTCCAATTACTCTGTGAGGTTTTGGTTGTTTTTTTTTTTTTAATATTAATACTTTTATTTTAGTCTTAATATAACCTTTGATTTTATTTGTTTAAAATATGAGAATGTATTTCCCAGTACTAAACTGGTATGATCTGCTTCTCCGTTCTTCTTTGCCTGTGCTTATGTTTTAAAGTCATACCTACCAAATTGGAGTCCCTGCTTAGCATAAAGCAATTTCCTGTCTCCTCTATGATTTTGAAATGACAAATTCAAGGGTTGAAATCTGTTTAATAACTAGTCCATTGTTTTTGTGTGAGCACAGCTTATAGAGACTTCAGAGAGACTCTAGACAGAGCTGAAGTTCACAGGATGACAGGAAAACACTGCCCTAAAATGCCACTTGACAGATGAGGACATACCTTGTAGCTGCCCATACTCATGGTCTCAACTTTTCCAGCCCTGATTTAGGATGCAGTTAAAATGACACCCTGGCACACAGGTTTGTTTTCTTAGCTGATGAATAGGGATAGATTCATCTTCAGGTTTGGACACTGAAGTGGAGGTGCTTTATCACAGCTTAAAGGTGCCCCTGGTGACTCTGGGGAGATGCAGGGGATGAGGCAGACACCCTCAGCTTCATCAATCAAGGGTCACAGGTTTGCCCTTCCCTGCAGTTTTCATTTCAGAAGGGCACATGTCCTTGTCCTGCTTGCAAGCCCCTGGCACACAAGAACCCCTGCACACCTGTGAGTGGGCACCAAGCTGAGCCACAGGTAATGGATCACAGCGGGGTGATTCAGCTCACCACACATCGGCATCCAGTCCTGTTTGAGGTGCCCTAGTGTGTTTGAAATGCCCCCAGTTGGCTCTCAGGCATAGCCCAGGGCCAAGAGAATGACCCCACATGGTCCAGCAGCTAAGCCCAACAGGATGCCCCGGGGCCCTTGCATAGTGCTAGGTGCCCAAGCTGGAGAGCTGAACTGAGTCTGGCTGTGGGCTGAAGACTTTGGCAGGCTCCAGCTTACTTCACTGCCTGTAAGAGTGGCTGAAACCCCAGACTCCCATATGGGCACTGAAGTTCAGGTGCCAGAATTAATCCAATTTAAGGTAATCTGTTGTATCCCACTGCTGGTGGGGTACCTGGGAGGTACCTCTGAGCACTTCCCTCCCAGGAACTGTTCTGGTCATTTATTCTTGAATTCAGGTCACAGCAAAAACTAGAAGGGTTGAATCAAAAGCTGTCAGGCAGAAGATTGCATAAAACAATGCAATTGAGATGGCAGGTTATTTGACAGAGGTTTGTATTTTGGCAAAAGAGTTTCCTATTAGTCCAGCTCTGAATGCAACCCAAGCTGTACATTTTCTTCACTGGTTCCCTTCCTGATATATCTGCAGATGGACTGAGATAATCCTTATTCTCTAACCAGTATAAATGATAAGCAGATACAGGAAAAAAATGAAGTTCTGCAGTTATAAAATAGTGTAAACAAGAGAAAAGAAAAAAAAGTATCTGCAGTATGTACTCTTTTATGTTCTTTAATTTAGACCTACAGATATAGCTGGAAAAGCAAGAGGCTTTTTCTTTAAAGATCTGCAGTAATTTAAAGTTCTGTACCTAGAAGATTTGGTTCAGCCTTAAATTCAAAGTATGCTACAATTAGGGTGAATTATTGAGGTTTAAACTAAGGGACAATTGAATATAGAAAAAAATTTTCCTTTTACTTTTGAATTGAAACCAGAGGCAAAAGTACTTCTTCTAAAAGTATGCATGGTTTGATCTATAGCTTTCAGTTAGGCAAACTCCTGGGAAAATTACTACCTTCCTGTGATGTACAATGGAATTCTTCCAAAGGACAAGATCCCTAAGCTGATACAAATCAGCATAAAGCCTCTGAATATCATCACCTCCAGATTTAACCCACAGTATCTTATCTACAAATACTGTTGTGGAGTGGCTTTTAAATAATCTGACTCCTCTGATACATTCACAGTTTATGTTTATTAATTAATTAGGATTAACATCACAAATTAACATCAGACTTCACAGAAGTATTTTTTTTTTCCTAGAAGAAATTACTTCTGTCTGCTTTGACTAAGATGCCCTACTCCTGAAATAAATTACCTACTCCTGAAATAAAATTTATATGTGGAACCCAGTGCAGCAACTGAAAACCTCATCCATGAGTTCTGAAGTGCATGTAAACAATCATGGAAGGTCTAGGGGGAACAGACCATGAATTACCAAAGCTGCAATTAGACCAGGCACAGACCAATAACTGCCCTCTGCTCTGAAACATTGTAAAAGTTGAAGTGACCACAAATCTCAAAAACCTCAGTGATGAAATAAATTATTCCAACAACATGGCCGAACTATGGGTCTGGATTCACCCAGGACTCAAAATTTTTCTTACCAGTATTTCAGTGAGGTGAGTCAGACGTGTTCCATTGTAGCTTGGGCTCTTATAACATCATCTCTAATACTTAGAGCTGTTTCATAAGGAAACTAGGACACACAAGCAACCAAAAGGTCTTGTTTTCAATCAGAGTAACCGAACTTTTAAACTGAGAACATGGTTTTTTATCAAGTCTTTCCTCCTAGGTTTTTAGAAAAAAATTGTCAAAAACGCAGCCTATAAAAATGCAATCCATTTTCATTTAAATATCTGGTTTGCAGAAGTTCTAGAGATAACTAAGTAGAGAAAAGGACTTATTTTAAGGTACCTCTTCATTTTGCATTAATTTATTTGCCTTCCTACCACTTCCAGTTAAATTTTAACTCTAATTTTCTTTCTAATTTATTATGAAAATTTATTTCTTATAATACAATCAGGTATACAAAAAGAGCTTGCCTCTCCATGTCTATGGGCACCTTTAAAGAGTACTGAATATTTAAAAGATATTATAAATAGAAGCGAGATCCATATGGCGAGATAATAAATATTCATAAAATTATGGATAGTCTGATTCTCTGACTCATTTTTGCAATTGCAGTGCTGTAGGAAACAAATATACTTCTCCATTCAACTACTGGATAACTCATTGATCTGCCTGCCTGCTCCATCTAGGCACCTTGCATAAGAATATGTTTTTTCTCATTGAATCTCATAAACAGCAATGTCTTTTAGCCTTTTATCTTTTGAATATTAAGCTGCAAAGTTTCAGAGTCCTTCGTTGGACGTGACAGGATGTGTAATGTACAACTTGGAAGGAATATTCTATGCAGATTTCTTGAAGAGCATTAAAATGTATAAATTTTGCGCAACCGACAGAAAAAAGAAACTCGTTGTTGAGCATCAGGTGGGCCATGTGAAATTAATAATTTCTCACTCAGTTCATTTCCCAGTGGAAACATATCTAACACACACAAACTCCAGCTTTGCATTAATTGCCACCCTTGTTTAAAATCTTGGTT